TTTCTATATACCGTAACACGTGATGCACTAATATAAATTGTGCTAACTCTGTTGATTATTCCCAAACTTGTGACAGTAACAGTCCTGTTTATTTTGTTATGCCTCAGTGGGGATTGATAATTTAATTAAAAACAGCAAGGACCCTATAGTGGTCAGAGAGCTGAGTGAGTTGTTACGCAACACCTTTGAACTTGCATGGCAAAAAAATGAAATTCATTTTCTAGACAGATGCATCGTGAATAACGAATATCCAAAGACACACAGGAAAATACCGCGGAGTCATCGTGTTTATCTGAAAAGCACAAAAAGCTAAAGTGTCATACTTTCAATAACATAGATGTTATCCGTTTGTGGATTTATGATTTAGAAAGGAAAACTGCATGGAGGACACACATGCTGAGAGGGCTTTTACCAGATGTTCGTGTTCAATTTGAAGATTACGTCACTACGTAGTTCACAAAATCTTTGTTATCCTTCTTTATTCCATGTTCCATTTTGCTTTGTTTTATTTTATTTCACTCTATGTTATCATATTCTAACATTTTATCTAGTCTACTATTTTAACAACATTTCACTCATCTCATGTTTTCATCATCATATTATGTCCGGATGTACTTTATTTATTCGATTCATATGTCTAATCTATTTTTGACTCAAAATCATATGCACCAATATTGTCTGACTAGTATTCCCAGTCACTGCCAAACCTCAGCACACACCCACACAAAAGAAAACTGATTACCATTGTCTATTGTAACTCATATATATATATATATATATATATATATATATAGCATGCTAGGTAGTATATAGAAATACATAGCAAGACATTCCATTGCGCAGTTAGCGTCTATGAAAATGAAATCGTTGGAGAGAATTTCCTCCTATGAATGCTTTGTTTTATGTCTCAGTGGGATTATTTGTGTGTCTGGGTTCCGATTCTATTGGTTAATCCCAAACATGTGACATTTACTAAATACACGTTTACTATTCTGTGTGCCTGAGTTTGTTCAGGAAATAAAAACCAAGTACATCATGTGATTATAGTGATAATCACACGTTTGCTGGCTGTTCGACGGATTGACCGTCTAAATTTCAATTCTCTTAATATTCCCACAGTTAGAATTAAAACTAGACACATTCTTATTTATTATTATTCCCTTGCGTTCCGATCTGAACATAGGGCTTCAACAACACGTCTCCACTTTCTTCTATCTTCTGTCATCCTCTTCAACTGGATCAACAATTGACCAAACTTTCTTACCGTTTCCTCACACGATCTCTTCCATGTCACCCTGGCTGGCCATTTGATCTTCAGTGTTCTACCAATCAACCACAAATATATGAATATTTGCATCATACTTGAAAGATCATATACTTGAGTGTACTCTGAAATCCACGGACAGCAATATGAGGTTGTAATAGGATCTTCACTAGGCTCTTAGAGAGCCAATTTTTTTCTGGTTATTATGCATAAAAGTACTCGTGCGTCTGTTATCAAGGGACTCAGCTACGTTTGAGAGCGATTCCCATGTTGGCTGAGCAAATGAAAGTGGACGGTATTTAATACACCTGTATTACTACAAGTAGTAAATAACAACCACCCGGCTACTGATGTATCCGTCAGAATCCTAACTGAGGTTCAACAAAATTTGCCAAAAGATGAACGTGCACACTGCTTTGTGCAGTGGGATTTTCGGCAAAGTTTAGCATAAAGCCAGAATAATGTTTACAATCCCTTCCATTAACATAGACTTAATTTTATCATCTGATTCATAAGACTTCTCTATAATCCTTTATTGCACGTTACCTGGTAAATTCACATTTTTATTTTCGAAAGTATATAATCATTCCGAAGAGAACTAGCCTGGTGCATTATGGATAGAATTTTATTTTGATTAAGTCTCACAGTGATATACAGTAATTATTACTGATGACGTTTCAAGCACAATTTATTACTCCTCATAATCATATCAAGTTACTCACTGACATAACTTTCTTGGTCCGTTTATATAAATGAGCAAAGATTGATTAGACATTTGAATAAAATCAGTATAAGACTTGCATGAAACAGAAAAGAGATAAAGTACATTAGGAAACAATATTACATTTATTAAACCTTCAGTTCCTAGTGGAACACAATGCTTCAACAACACATCTCCACTTTCTTCTATTTTCTGACGTCATCTTAAGCTCGATCTACGATCGCCCAAACTCTCTCGTCTTTTCCACACACGACCTCCTCAATTTCACCCTAGGAAGACCCAGTCGTCGCTTCCCATATGGATTCCGCTCGAGTGATATCCTTCATTGCGTGCGATGTCATTCGACGGCCTCCTCAATGTATTCCCGATCCACTTCCATTTGCTCCTACATATTTGTTGAGCAATCGGTTCTTGGTTGGTTTGTTCTCAGCCAGGGTTTCTTGTTGCTAACCATTTCTGGCCGTCCATTTGACCTTCAGTATGGAGCCAGTGAAGGTAGCTGTTGATGAAAGTCTGCAGCCTACTGAAAATCCCTTGCGTGACTCAAATGCAGTGCAAGTTTCTGACCCGTATAGAAGGACCGACTTGACATTGGTGCTGAAAATCCGAATCTTGTTTTCTATGTTGGCTGAGTGCCGAAGATTTCCAAACTGTTTTCAAGTTGAGGGAGGCGTGTCTTGCCTTTCCGATTCTCATAAGCCTTGACATCTTCATCTCTTCCACCTGTAGTTGGAACGATGCTTCCTAGATAAGTGATAGAAGGCAACCTGTGTTAAATCTCTCCCGTTGATGGTGATTGGTGCTGGTTGTTGTTGCTGTCGCTGTTGGTTAGTTGCTTATCTTCACCACCTTCATCTTCTCTATGTTAACCTGCAGTCCTGTCTTCGTCGCCTGCTCGCATCTTCTGCCAGTTTGTTGCTCTTCGCCTACAAGTCTTCGAGTTTGTGTGACATTAGACATGTATCATCTGCGAAATCCAGATCTTCCAGAGTCTTACCATCAGTGGTCCAGCGTACTTCTGTCTCCTCGCTGCTCACAGTCTGACGCATAATCCAGTCCACCATTATTGATAATATCATCGGTGATAAAACGCAGCCCTGTCTTACTCCTGTACGCACTTAGAACGCCTCGCTGAATTTTCCGTTGAGGCTCCCTTGACACGTGGCATTATCATATAGTTGTTGAATGAGGTTGACAAAGATTTGAGGTATGCCGTAGTATTGAAGTAGTTTCCAAATTACTTCTCGGCCAACGCTGTCAAATGCCTTTTCAAAGTTGAGGCGGAGTGAGTTTCGACTGTCATTCCACTGCCATTCTTTGTTCTGTGATGACGATATGTGGAGTTGCTATTTGATGAGCGCACGATTTGTGTAAGCGCAATATCGCTTGAAATTAAGTCACGCGTAGATAAAGGCTATCCCGGTCCAGAACAAACAAGAAGCCGGTCACTGTTTCTACGGTACTATTAATAAACAAATCAATAATTATATATACAACAAACCTTAACGGTTTCAAGAGTACAAAGCACAACGCTTAACAGAAAGCAAGGTACTGCCATCAGAGCGGAATAACGTTAAAGCCAAAATTGCGAACTAGCCGGAACCAGACACGACCGTTCAGCTAAGCAGTCAGTAGAAGAATGAACCCAAGTAAGGCATGACATAAAACAGAGAGCGTTTAACAGAGATAGACCGAGCATAGGCACAAAGATATAATTTAATTGGCTACTTAACCAGGTAGGAAAATACAGATGAAAATCAATATATAAGATAAACTCGACAGAATAGTACAAAGTTAGACATGGGTCAGCAAAAATAACAGTTCACAAAATACTCTGATTGGGCCATGAGTTCAACCGTCTGACAAAACGGATCGAGGTAAAAACACATACACACATTTCATTAAACAAGCAGGGATAGACACGTTAGGCATGGATAATTGGGTTGCAACAACGCTAGGCTGATCCGGGACAGGTTGACTTGATTCAAGGATGGGAATAGAATTGATCTTACAATTTGCCTTTCCTGAATGCAACTTGTTTCGGCTGTCGGAGTCGTGTATCCAGTGCATCCTTTATTCTCTGCAGGATGATGCGACTTAGTATTTTACTTGGCGTGAGTGGACAAGAGCATTATTCCACGCCAGTTCTTGCAAAGGCCTAAATAGGCCGCCCTTCTTTGGCAGTTCGATGAGGTAGTCCTTCTTCCAATCAGTAGGCATCCTTCCTAATTTCCAGACTTTTTGTCGTAATGAAGTGAGAACATCTGCCGTAATCTCTGAGGCTGTCTTCAGTGCTTTGGGAGGAATTCCGTCTGATCCTGCCGCCTTCCTGGACTTCAGTAGCTTGATCACATTCAGGGTTTCTGCTTTCGTTGGACGATTGGTGTTTACTGGTAGGCAGTTCTGTGCATGCTGTTGGTGTTATTTATGGGTGAGTTGCCGTCGATGGTCGATTCAAGAGTCCTTAAAAGTGATCAGCCCCTTGTTTTATTTGTTCGCTGCTCCTCATTGGCAATCGGGTTCCCTTGAGCATCTTTTATTGCTTTCATCATCTGGGTTGATCTCTAAATAATACAGTTCAATAGACTTCATTTGTTAACCGACAAATGATAAGGATATAAAGCCGACTCATGTAATAGAAGGAAAAACGAAGTAAAAAAAGATTTTCCGGAACTGAACTATGTTCTTCATAAAGGGCAATTTAAAGCACTTAGTTTTTTGATTCCAGAATGAATGTCATAAATCAACTTACGTATCAATGAGCGCATTTGTAGCACAAGAATGAATATCATCTGTGAAACAAAATAAGGCAAATTAATAAAGCAGATAGAATAAAATATAATAGTAATTAATTAAAGAGATATCTTACGACTAAGCTCATAAAAAGTCAATAAATTACGTTTAAAAATCCAATAAAAATCTACTACTTAACCTGATAAAAGAAATTAGTTTTTTCTGACCTTGATAAGTGTGTTCATTAGCCTATCAGTTTAGCCCATCATTCGGGAAGCATTAATGAAAACAAGTCATTCAATGTTAAATAAACCAATAGTATTTGAGGAACTCCCAAGTAGATTATCTTCTAAATCTAGTGTATTTTATATTGATAATTTACATCACTCGAATTATCGTCAGTTACAATGGAATATACCTATAACACATGTTAAAATTCAACTAGAATTAGGCTTCCCTTCTAAATTTGATCAGTATAAAAAACATTGCGCTGAATACGTTGATAAACGAACATATCAAGTTCAAGTGGAAAATCACTTTCGTAATGTTAATTCAAAACATTTTTGTCATGATAAAGAATACCTCCTTGTATATGATATCTCTGCTGCTAAAAGACGTGATAAGCGACGTGAAAAATTATTTGGACACACATACTACTGTTTCAATCATCCAACGCATTATAAACAAGCAAAATTATTGTTAGCTAAAGAAATTGAAAAGCATGCTGACTATTTGACTGATAAACAAGAATTAAAATCGGATAAGTATGATAGACGTAGTAAGATTGGTGACGATGGACAGTATAAGATGAATCACATTTCACAAAGAACAAGATACTTAACTTACAATTCTGATGAATATGTTGATTTGCTGACACATAAAGTACTTCATATAGAAGTACCAAAGATTACACCACCACAGTTTCCAATAAAAACATTTGTAGACGCAGAAAATAAAACGCCTATACCATTAACCACTCAGTCTGTCAAGTCCTTATACAATCAGGCTGTTAACATTATGAATAATATTATTCAAACTCCAGTTGATAGAAGAGATCAGTACTCAAGAAAACGAATGCTACCTTATGTGTACCCCCCAAATGAATTGGTGTACTTTGGTAGAATTACTGATCATGATACCGCCAAAGGATTTAGTGTATCTAGTGATGATGACACAACATTATCAGCGAGTTTACAAGATACCACATGAATAACAGTTTTTCTCACTGAATCTTCGTTGATACAATGTGAAGTTCACAACTCATTTAGATTTTTCATTCCTTTTCTTTTACTATGTGATTCTGTTTCCCGTATTGTCTTTGTTTATTTTTTCGCTAGGTCACCTTTATCTCTCACAAAACTGTAAAATGACCTGAAATATTCGCTTCAGATGAATTCATGACAGGAAGCTATGTACAGAATAAGTCAAGTAAATCGACACAGATACGCTGAAAATTTCTGTGTAACTTTTACGCATAAAAACATACAAATGCGTGTATTTTTAGTAATGGCATACATTACCTAATAAAATTTGTACTATGCACGAACTAATTTTTATACCAGATGGAATTTACTCGCTAATATAAAGCATATGCTTCATATACAATGTAGAATAAGTCTGAACACTAGTGCAGCGGTAAATAATTTCCCAAAATTATTGACCATAGGAATATATTATGTCTAAGAGGAGAATTACATTGTGACGATAAGAATCATTAGTGGACATTGGATGCTGACCCTTAGAGTTTAAGTCGACTTGTTTAGCTGAAGGCTTCCCGTCAAGCATCCCCGCCATTTGGTACTCCGTCGTGTCACTTACGTGCACGATAACTGGTTAGCTTAGCTTCCGCTTCGATCCGCGTTTTGGTTCCGAAATATATCTCGTAATTTGGACAATCAATTGTTGTGTTTTGCTTTGTCTTTGGTACACGAGAAACAAATAAGACAGAAGTTTTTGGAATAAGATCTTGCGTTAATATGCTCAATACTGTTCGCGAACGTCTATACCGTCAACCTTTAGCTTCAAAGTTACATAATACTAAGGAAAGTAATGTTCAAGTATTGGTTTGTATGAATTTGATATTCATGTATTGATGCAAACATACCCAAATGAATTTCGCGGAATATGCAATATATAGTTCAAAATCAATACGTGCGTTTCCAATAAGTATAAGATATCTGAATTCTTGAGTTAGTACATAACTTCTCACCATAACAAATTTGGCCCCGCCTTGTTTTCGCACACTTGAATTAATGAAACACAGACGATAAATTACGAACTCAAAATCATCAGCAAAATGGTCATATAAGACTTTGTACTGTGTCACTAGAGCGATGTTGTAATCATCTCAACAGTTAATTTTAATTTCGTTTTATCAATATGTAAGCGGCCAGCTGGAAGGCACATCGTGAACTTTGTAATAATATGCGATGTAACAATTCGGATCATTTTCAAAAAAAGAATTTGTATCTTGGATACCAGTTACGTGAATTAGTATGGAATTAATCAGAGGCAATGAGGCATACATTCACTTTTAATCATGAAACATCAATTACAACTTCAGCATAGTAGATAAATTTTTCCCAGAGTCGCTGTTGTACTGTATATCCGACCGACAGAATTCAATCATTACCAAATAAAAGGTAGAATGGTCCTCATTATTTGGTCAATCAATATGTTTAACTTATGGAATATTAAGCTATCTGTTCTAAATATATTTACCAATAAGTCCCTAAACACCGTTTAGAATTGAGTGTGAAAATTCAGACTGATCGGTGTTCACTCAAGTACTACTCCATGTAAAGCAAATGATGGTGAATATGCCGAAAACAGTTCTAAGTATTACTCTAAATGTGAATTTTTACTATTTAATTTGCAAAACCTTCCTTTTATCAACGTGTATGACCCATTCACTGAAGAAGAGCCAAGAGGAAATTGTTCTAGTTGCTTTATTTTCATCTGATTCTTCTACAGTAATTAGTCGGACTGACTTCATTTCGAATTACAGGTAATGGAAACCCCTAACCCCTGTAAAGACTATTACGGATTATAAAAAAGGGAATCAACGCATATGCATTTTCCAAACCACTCTGCGTCTAAAGACAATCGAATAATAGCGAACTACATTTATCTTGTGTTAATAGTTCAGTTGTAGAATGCCAACCAGCCACGCAGGTGTTAGGTCAGGTTCGATTCCCTGCCAAAGCACTACTAAACCTCCACCAGTCCGCCATCTGATGGTAAGCCCGGGAAGAGCGAAGGCTGGGCGTGAGGCTAAAAACAACGCCGCTACTGAAAATTCAACATTTGAAGCTCTGTGTTTCACTGAGAATGCAAACAAACGAAATGAAAAAAGAACTTGTATCACTAACTCATACAGGAATGGGAACTACTGGAGATTATGTATTTAGAGGCAAGCTATAAAAGAAAAGTATTTAAAAGTTAGGTAGATTAAGAAATCAAAACAATTTGTCAGTATTAAACACACACGAGGCGACGTGTGGGTGTGTCGTAAAAAATAACACTTAATATAGGCAGAACTCAATAAATCCATAAGTGGTTTCTGATGGTTGTGTTCTGCTGTTACGCTAGAAGACGAAAGAGATGGTACAAGGATGTCTATTTGGTATTTCTACATAGCCAAATTACGTACAACTACTCCTCAACACACAAATAGCACAAATTAAGGTGTTGTGGTATTTCTGGCCTTCATATTATGTTTATATGTGTTCCTACACGTTACCAATGCATTCAAACTAAGCTGTATCAACGGCCTCCATATATATCAAAATTGTATCTCCGATAATGGAGGCATTCTAGAGATGAAAGTTTCTTCACATACTACTGATAAATCTTATCAGTAGCACTCGTCACAATGTGACCTGGTTTATTTAGTTTTGAAGCTTTCGTCGTCCATCTAGACAACGTCTTCAGTGCAAGCTTCAATATGAAGTGAATTTATTTGAGTTCTCCAAGAGTGATATAAATGTATCTCATGACAACCTTTGCTGTGATCGTTTTTTAATTTACATCTTCACTGATCGTTTTTGTTGAATTAATAAACTTGAACAAGACAAGAATAACACATTCAGGAGGATAAAATGACGTCATTATATTTCGTTGGTTCTTGTAGGCTGCTTACGAACATGAGCAACTTAATATTATTATTGTTCAGAAAGCTGATAAGTATTGATATCATGTGACTAAGTATCATAATGCAAAGGAATAAAATGTGTTGTTAAGCTTATTAGTATGTATTAGAATGGAAAACCTATCGTTGTTAACTGTGAAGTTATGATTAATACATGCGTTGAAATGATAACTTGACTAGACAATTTTTGATTGTCTTATTTTTGGCTTGAATTTCCGGGAATTTGTAAACGATACATACCCTGTATTTCGAATAATAAAACGTTGTCGTTGTTGTCACAGTTGAATCTTCCTAAAACTAGTTGCTGGTATCGGTATCATCAAAACCTTCTCGTTTTCTGATGTGGTTTATATGTCTTGATCTTCACCTTGTATGTCGCTGTCCCGTTTTCTTTTCGATTACTCCTGTTGTCCATTCGGGTATAGCAATTTGAAAATCATGAACCCTCACTGATTCACCCACGGAAAAATCTATGAGTTTTGCCCCATGACGTTTATTGTACTGTTCCCCCGTCTTCGTATTTCTTGATGTTTCCTTTTTAAGCCTTAGAAGTAAATCATCCAGAAAAATACGAATTTTACGTCCGAATATATGTTCAGGAGGTGACAGTCCGTTGCCAGTCAATGAATTCGGTGTTGATCAGTAATCCAAAAAGAACCTTTGAAGTACTTATTCTATTGTCGCTTCCTCCCTTCCTTTCAGTATATTTCACTTGAGTGGACCAACAAGACGTCCTGCTTCACCATTTGAATGCAGATAATATGGTGCTCATTGGACATGCTGAATGCTATTTTCCGGACAGTGTTGCTGGAGTTGACTTGATGTAAACTGAGTTCCACTATTGGTTACAACTATATCAGGTAGTCCAAAAAGTCAGAATACTTCTCTCATTTTACCATTTATAGCCATCACAGAAATATTCTCCGCGATAAAAACCTATGGTCATTTTGAAAATGCATCAGTTATCACTTGGAACTGTTTCTTTTGCAATGGGCCAGCAAAGTCAATATGAACTCTCGACCATGCACATTCTGGGATAAACCATGACTGTAGTTCTGCTTTCACTGGTGGCTTAGCAGCTTCCGCACACCTAATACAACTCAGTATCTAAATTTGACCAAATAAAGTATAATTATATTTTAATAGTTTACACACAATGATAAGTTTTGTTATTGGTAATATTTCGAGCAAAATCACCGCCCGTATACATAGTCTCGAGCAACTGTCTTCATTCTAGTGATGGTAAATGTAGCTGACGTGGGACCGCACTCTTAACTATTTGAGGGATCACCACCAAACAGTAGGCAGTTTTCGACCACTGAGAGGGTATTTCGTCTTTGACAAAACTATTTCATTTATGCACAGGTGGCAGTGATGGCCAACTATATTGAAAGAATTTCAATACTTTGCTTACCATGGGATCACGATAACTAGCTGCCTTCACGCCTCCAGCTGATAAGGCTACAGATTTTACAGTGTTTGATAAAACTCCTTTCACATCCACTTCGACACAATTTGTGGCCACCACCATATCTTCATTTTCCAGGTTATGGCTTTCAAGAAGACGCAAAAGTTCATTAACCTGACCCAAATCATGCGTAGATTTGTACTTTATTTTGAAATTGTAACCCAGATGGATGAGTGCCTGTTGCTGAAAGCCATTCACTGTGCAGTCTAGAATCCCTTTCTTAGAACCGAAAATTGACAGCAGAAGTTTGTGGTCAGTAAGTAGTGTAAAACTGTCCATGAACCATTTTGTGAAACTTTTTGACTGCAAATACTAATGCAAGACCCTCTTTCTTCACCTGACTATAGTTCTGTACAGCTTTCGTCGGAGTTCTTGAAGCGTGTGCATTTGGTTTTCCAACACCACTCGGCGACATGTGTGAGATAAATGCACCGATACCATAATTAGATGCATCAGCTGCAGTGAAAGTTTCCAACTTAGGGTTGCAGTATACTGGGAGGAAATCGGAAGTTAATATTTCCTTCACTTTCTCATATTTACACTGACATCCATTCAACTAATCCCATTTGAGGCCTTATACCAACTGTTCGCTCAACGGTTTTCTTATTCGATGCAATTTTCGGTCAACTGAACTGTTGAAACTGATTAGTCCTATTATGAAATGTAAAGTATTGGTGTTGTGAGCAGTTACTTTAATATTTGTGAGTATGAAGCTCCTAACGTAAGCTAGTGAAATCTTTCTTTATGATCACATTTACATGTTTTATAGTTATTTTTTTCTATGGGCAAACATCATCCTAACGCCACTCATCACAAATCCAACAACTATTAGAAGGCATCTTAACGTTAGTTAATATTGTATAAATATGAAATCTGAAAAAGTTAACAATATATTTGTTTACATGTATAGTATCACC